TATATGTTGTCTGTTTGGCATAAATTATCGTTTAGCTTGTTTGTATGTGATTGAAAATGCTGACTGAGATAAAAGGCGAATGAAAGATTATGTGAATGGGTAATTGTATAATATGGTCAGCCTGACTAGATATCCTGGGAGATGGTGGACGGACCGGGTCCGTAGAGAACCCTACCGGGATTGTGGTCTCCCATACCGGACGGGGTATGGAGATCTTATGTGTTTTGGCGCCCATACCGGACGGGGTATGGGGACGGCCCGTTTCACCCTCATACCGGACGGGGTATTGAGGTTTATAGTTTTGGCGCCCATACCGGACGGGGTATGGGGACGGCCCGCTTCACCCTCATACCGGACAGGGTATTGAGGTTTATGGTTTTGGCGCCCATACCGGACGGGGTATGGGGACGGCCCTGGAATCCGATGACGAATGTTAAGGATTAACGGGTAGCGGGACCCCTATGGATTCCCATGGATACTAGTGGGCTGGTGAAATTAGGAAAATATGTTGTGTAACTATCGAATTACGAAGAGTGTGATAGGTATTATGTTATACAGTTCATATATATGTTTTCATGATGATGATGATGTTATTGCTTTCGTACATTGTTTTATGAATTTCACCAAGGTAAGTAAATGGTAAAGGTTTTATTTTCGATAAAAGGATTTGTTGTAAATTATGCTCCATTGGTCTTTTTGTGTTTTCTACCCACCTTTACCTCCGTGACGGTGAGATATCGTGATGTCTTTACTGGGCTAGTGTAGCTCATTCCTTATTTAATCATTTCAGATCAAGAGGACATCGTTCCCGAGCCACTTCCGCAGGAGGACGACGAAGGGGACGCCTAAGGACTCCATAGTCACATTCGTAGTTTTTACTTTCAAGTTTCTCTTTTAGGTAGTTTAATCTTTTATATTTTGTGAGTACGTTTTGGTTTTAGTGTAAGGGATGTTATTCAAATTTTGACTTCGCTTCCGCATTTGATATTTATAATACAAATTCCATTCTGAATTACCGGGGCTGTTACACCCTAGCCAATAAAGACTGACTCTGCCGTTAGAGACATTATAGACAGCCAAGTAGGAAGTTTAGAGGAAGTTATCAATAGTAATGAAATGATCAATTTTATGAACTAGTGCCAGTTTGGCTGGGCTTCTACTTCTACTTTTTTACTACCGAAAACTAGAAGTCTGGCAAAACACTAAAAAAAAGTACTTTTAGATAAAAATAAAATTTATTTTGGCTATCGATAAAGGTGAAACTAAAAGCTGAAAGTAGATGTTTTTGAGATATGGTTTGTGCTCTAGGAGTTAAATAATATTTCTAATGAGTATATTTATTAATTTTCTGTTTTAATTTATTATTTAAAATAAAACAAAAATCCTAGTAGGTGAAACAAGCACCAGTTGAGCTAAATAGAATCTTAATCTAAGCAGCAATATTTCATGCACCCCTGTACCCTAGATTAGACCTGATTGAAGCACAAACACCATTCTGTTTCTCAACTCCCTTATCCAGTTTTTTTCAATTTCCTTCCCAAATTCTCTTCTCCTTGAACTATCTTAAATGATTCTCTTGCATTAGTACTACTTTGATCTATTTTCCCATTTGTTCAATTCTTTGATATAAAGAGCACTAGAAAACCCATTATCCACTGGGTGGCATCCCCCTGATGTCCTGTTTATCCTATTTCCTTCTTTTTCTTCTCAAAAAACCACACCAAAGATATCAGAAAACTTTTACCCTTCAGTTCCTTATTCAGGATAAATTAATAGCCATAATAGTGTCTCCCTTTAGTTTTATAGGTTATAACCATATAACAGTAAAGAAAACCCTACATTATGTTTCTCCGACTCAAAGCAGTGCCCTCCCAAATATTTTCCTCCTTACAGATCCATAGGAGCTGTCCACAAATAATTTTTTCCATTGATAAGGGGCCCTCAATTTTATTCCAACATTTATCATCTTATAAAGCTCTAAGTTGTGACTTCTTCCAATTGTACTTAAGCTTCAGACCTAATCTACTTTATTCAAGTTCCACGAGTAATTCTACAAATTTCAGGCATATGTGATTCTGTAGATGTATCCAGAGTTCACAAGTAAAAAACATCAACAAAAAAGAAGCCATCTATATCAGAAGTTTTTAGTCATACCACGTGCTCAAGTCAAATTTTCTTCTATACAGCTACAAATATACCCACAAGCACATGCATATAAAGCATAGCTGTTAAGAGGGAGATACAAAATATTAGACAGCCCACCATGTCAAAGAAAAGAGAAGTTTTGAGGAGAAGTCCCCAAAACTTCAAAAGTTTTTCTTTATTAGGTTTATAGGGATTAACAAATGCATCATGCCCATAGGCATAACATATAGAACAGAAAAATATTGCTCACTCAGTTGACTCTTCCTGATAATTTTAAGCATCCGTGCATATCCACATGTAAGATTCATTCAATAGTCCATCAGCACCAAAAATGTAACAATCCATACAGTTTGTTCATAGTATATCACCACCACCAAACACCAATAAGGATTAAGCAATTTTAGACAACTCATACATATCTGCCCATATTGATGCAATTTTACTATGATGGTTAAATGTTCTTAGACATATTCGACCAGAAACTTCCCAAATATCTTAAAGAACATATATATTATATGGCAATATGAACGACGGAGCAAGAGGTCAGACAGAGAATACAAATATCTAAATGGACAGCATCCTCATAGATATAAAGT